TATGCATGTCAAGTACAACTGATATTGTTAGCGTGGGTAACAGAGTCTACCACTATCACGCTATATCATATTGACACTATATCTAGCGGTGTACGTCTATAATTATAATATTATGAATGTATGTAGTATGAAAGTAGGTCAACTTATAGTGAGATATAATATAATGTATAATGTTTATACGTTTACACAGCTATAATTCCACGTGTTCCTCTGTATGTCTCCAACTTGGTATATTCAACAATGTAGTAATATATCAACTTGGTATCTTTAACAATGTAGTAATATATCAACTAGTTAATAAACCTCTAGATATAATATACACGGCTGGGTCCACATGGCGCTATATCCTTACTTAGAAAGTTCATCGGGACTCTCCGATTTTAGTCCCATGCTCCATCCGAACGACTAGACGGTGTTCCTGCAGGACTGACAGAGGGACACCAAGCCGGAAAATCCCGAATAGCTTTCTCAACCGACACTGGCATCAAACCCATAACCCCCTGGTTAACGAACGAGTGTCTTACTCACTGAGCCACCGCGACTCGCTTGATAATATAATACTTGACGTAATATCAAGGTTAATTTACGTCCGCTTCCATTGAGATGATACCGTAGACAATAAATCAATGTCTAAGTATTCTGATATTAACATATTGATGGTCGTGGTAGTCAACGAGTCAGGGGATTGAGTTCGAATCTCGAGGCTGGCTCGCTACCCTGGAGGTTGGGTGTTCGATCTCTGTATTGGTCGAGAAAGTTAAATTCATCCAGATTTTCCGTCGTGATTCCCCCTTGTCAGTGATTGAGGACGGAGGGCCTGACAAGGACCGCTGTCTAGTCGTTCGGAGGGTCCGAAAATCCGAGGTTCCGTGTACACATTGGCGTGTACGTAAAAGATCCCTTGACAGTTGGAATTCGATATAAGAGTAGGCCGTAGTGTCGCTGCCCGGACAGTGTATACTAGGCGGACATTTTTTTTATATTCTTACGGTGGAAACGGACGTTTAGTTGAGAGATTACTTCCTAATGTCAAAATAAATTATTATTTCCATAATTATGTGCTGTGGTTTATTGTTTAAAATAAACTTATTTTATTACAACTGTTGATGCGGGGGGGGGGGGGGATTTGAGAACAAACAAATAATCAGTATTTTACAATGGAGAGGGAGAAGATAGGGTTAAACGTTCACTCGAAACAAACTAGGTAATTTCGGGACTAACATATACAGTGTATTTCAATTTTTTCAATAATACGCTTGCACGTAGGGCTGGGACCGGGGGACAAGGAGATAACCCAAGAGGCTGGACAGGCGACCCTACACCTTGTCACATACAACCGGGGAATCGAAACCACGCCAGTTGACTCAATGACAGATCTTATGAAACACCCAGGGCTGGATTGGGCCATCGGCCGGTCAGACAAAAAATGAAAAAAATAATTTGGTGCAATTCGTCTAATAAAACCTTTTTCTTCTGAACATTATATGGGGGGGGGGGGTGTATTGAACCGGTCATGCAGCGATGATGATCATGTTGTATGTGGCCGGTAGCTTTAACGGGCCACCACGCCATCACTGGAGTTTGGAATGGGCTGGTATAATAGACTTTCTGGGCCGGGTGTGCTGGGTGTGGGCCGGAATTCGGAATCCGAAAATTTCACCGGATTCACCAGACACTTTCACCGGCAAATTTACTAATTATTAAGTCCCCTGTACCCTGTTTCTGGGGATACGTCAGAAACGTCTGCCGATCGTTTGTAACTCAAAAAAAATTTTCAATTTTAAGGCCTCAGCAAAATTTGATGATAGCCAGTCTGCTTGCTGAATATGAGTGCTAGACGATTTCCTGAGACTGGTGTTAAACATTCCTTAACATTTTTTTTAACTCGTTATTTACAGAGATGAAATTACAGAATTGGGATGTCGGGAATGGTCTCAAATTGCGGGAAATGGCCTCCTATTTTTCAAAATTTTCCCTGGGGAGAGCACCCGGACTCCCCCATCCGGGCTCCGCGATCAGTAAAAGGGGCCGCTCCGACACGGGACCTCGGGCCGTTTCCCGGCCCCAATCCGCCCCTGGATACAACACGCACGCGCTAACCATTCGGCCATCCAACACCCTATTTTACAGTGGGTAGCGACTAATAAAACATAATTAAGGTGAAAGAGAGAAATGGGGTTTAACGTCCACTCGACACAAAGTAGGTCATTTCGTGACTAACACATGGTTCAATTTTATTTTAATCATTCGCTTGTGCGTAGGGGTCTTTAGCAGTGGGAGAAAACCGGGGGACCCGGAGTAAAGCCACGAGGTTGGACAGGCGACCCTACTCCTTGTCACGTACAACCGGGGAATCGAAACCCCGCCAGTTCACTCAATGACAGGCCGTATGGTACAGCGCGCGTGCTAACCATTCCGCCATCCAACCCCCCATAATTAAGGTAGAGAAAATTAAAAGAAGGTTTTGATGTAACATCATTTACAGTTAAATATTACTTTAAATTGCGTTTTAGAGTTCGAATCACGCCATGGGCCCGAGAAGAACTCGTTCTCGCTTTTCAGGGTGGCCCCGGCGGAATTGACAAAGGAAATGTGCCTAATCCATCGGATAGGGTAAAAAGCGGCATTCCAGGCAAAGTTCACCATCGTATTGCACGCCTGGCGATTGAAAAGAAAAATACATTAATTAGTCTTAAATTGAGGAGACGTTAAACCCCATTCTAGTATTATATATATTGGGTGTGACTGTGATAAATACGGGGTTAAATGTACTGTCATGAACTGGCGTGGTTCCCCCGTTTTCCATTGTGCAGGACTTTGGGCCTGGCAATAGATAACACCTAGTTGTTCCGACAGTTCTTGTCTACTCAGGCGTGCAGGTATTGGAATTCCGTGTAAGAGTTAGCTGTCGCGCCGCTCTCCAAGACAAGATTATTTATATATAATTATATATCAATAGGTGATGTATTTTTATTATATATTCTCACCTGGTACAATAATTGATTGTTTTATAAACTTGGACGACATTAGTCACCCTATCTATTTTACTATAAAACTGCAACAATGCAGGATAAATGGATATGGATCATCCTGTCAAGGTTTGTAAATTTGTGTAACGAAACAGCTGACCGACAGCCGACAACTCTATACGCCTATATTACGCGTGGGTGTATATAGAAAAATTGCAAATAGAAAAAAAAGTGAGGAGTCCTTCCGTATTCGTGACTGAGACATTCTCCTATTGAACACCAAAACCAAATTTAAATAAAAGAAAGATGGTCAAATTCACGCTGATATGGATTTTAGCAAATTTCATGAAATTCGGGCAATAACTCAGCCCTGTATATAGCTTTGATACGTTTTATGTGAAATCAAGGGCTATAACTCTAAGCATGTTCATAATTATGATGTCAGTAATTAGTAATTCTTTCCCCAGGTGATTTTAATGTTAAATCTATGACATGCCTTGGCCTATAACATTTTTTCTAATATGCCCCGACCGGGCGTATTGAATTACCCAATAACACCCAATTAATAATACCCAATAATTCCAACTGCCAAGGCATACGTGCATGCCAATGTATACACGAGACCTCGGTTTTTCGTCCCATCCGAACGACTAGATAGCTGTCCTTGGCAGGCCCTCCGTCCTGCACCACTGACAAAGGTAAACCACATCGGAAAATCCAGATGAACCGCGACCTCCATGCTTACAAGCCAACGTCTTACTCACTTAGTACGCTAGCACCCTTTGGCTCCCTTTTTAGAACGGAATTAGGTTAATGTCTCGATCTGCCACTTTAAGCGATTGGAATCACTTGTAAACTACAGCAAACTACTGTTCTGCTCCCACTGTGCTAACGAAAACGGGCATACGCCATACAGTGTGCTATGAGGGACACTTAGAGCGGACAGCGGCGCTGCGGCCTACTCTCAAGGAATCTTCAACGTGCACGCCACATACACGAGACTTCGGTTTTTTGTCCCATCCGAGCCATTTCGTCCCTGGTTAATTAGTATTTTGTATTATTTGATTTTTTAGGTTAATAGATGATCCAGTGCCCGCAGATGATACGTGTACAACAAAATTTACAATAAAATTCAATATAAAGTGTACAATAAAATTTCAATACATAACAATTTCACAAATATAACAAATTCAATGATTCTCTGTGGCAACAATTCCATGGCGATTCTTCCCCACACGGATATCCCGCCTGAAAAATCCTTCGTTAATGCTTTTTTGTTGTAACTGAAAAAATAAATATTTGATTGTTAATATATTTTAGTGTACAATTTACTTTGTTGTTTATTAATAAACGGGCCCGCTCTAGCGTGGAGATGTTCCGAAATGATAAAGCGAATGTGTCCCGAAAGTAAACTATGTCGTGTGGACGACTTAACCAACGTATTTGGGCACACAATTGTACTTTGTAAAAATTGTATAAAAAAAATATTGTGTTCTTGAATGTGTCCAATTTAACAGCGAATTTATTATTATTATGTAACATACTAAGAACCTAACTACATTTTTTTGGCACCAACCACCACCGCCCGCCCCCCGCCCCCCAGTCAAAAATTTCCCCGTACGCCTATGTGGACGACTGCACCAACGAGTGTGGACGACTTCACCAGATTTTTCGTGTGGACGACTTTGCTCGTGGACGACTTAACTGATATTCCTCTTGCCATGCCTTCGAACCTGCACCTTCTTCTTTTTTTTCTTTTGAACATACAATTATTTCGGTGGGTGCATGGGTATTTTGTTTATACGACACAGTATGAAAGTGCCATTTAACGAAAACGAAAGATGATTAAGATGCCAAGTTATGGCAACTTAAAAGTAAATAGCACGATCTGCTTAGTCACATAATAGAGTAATTAATTTAGAAGCTTCACACAGAACGATAATTTGCCTTACACCAGAGAATTTAGTAAGGCAGAGTAGGGTGAAGCTTGGTGATTTTATTTATATTTTCTTTTCTTTTCTTTTTGTATAGAATTGGTATATCAGATGGTTGGAGATGTTGTTGATATAGGGATGCATTCTGTTGGACCATATGATCCAGAGGTAGAGATACATGATATGGAAGTATTTTGTGGAATGTATATTGTTTATATGTGTAGTATCAAAGGATTTAAAGTGCTGTAATTTAGGGCAGTGTAGAAATAAGTGACTGTAGGTTTCATTATTTTTCTTGCAGTATTGACATATATAGTCATCTACGTAAATATTTCGAGTGTGGAGAATATCTTTTGTGGGAAATGCATTGTGTATTATTTTGTGCATAAATTCTTTTTCTATTTCAGATAGTGTTGGACATTTATATAAATTATGTCAAACTTTTTCAAAATTTATATGAGGTAGGTGTTTGTTTATTTTTGGTTGTACGTTCTTACTATCAATGAGTGACCAGTACAAGTACAGACTTTTTCTTTAATCGATAGGTTGTAAGTAGACCAGTGACTAATAGTTGATTTAATCGTCATGATGAGGGGTAACCAGATTTTTTTCCATTTTATTGATCTCAGAACAAAAGCCCAGTAATTTAATTGTGTCTGTTTTAATGTTTATGTTTATATTTTCAGGAAATGAGTCATGGGATGGTTTACGAACACCAACATGGTGGATTTCGGTTTTATCTTAATTTAGTTGAGAGCTATATACGGAGCCAACATTTATACGTAAGGAATAAAGAATCGTGGACAACCTTGACGGATCGAACGATTATTTTTGATATTTTGAGAGAAGGATCCATTTACTTGAACATTACTTTTCAAATTTTTAAACAGTATTGTAACCCAATTTACAATGTCATTTGGAAAATTCATATGTTTTAGTAGGGTTTTTATATAATTGTGTTCAATACGGTCAAAGGCTTTTTTCCTAATCAAACGATAAGATATAGGCATTAGTTTCATGTGTGTCTAAATAATTTAGGATTGAATCAATTAAATACAGGTTATCGAAGGTGCTTTTATTTGGTCCGGCTCCCGTTTGTGTTTTAGAGATCAATTTGTTAATAACTGTGTTCATTCATATACTTAATATTTTTGTGATGATTTTATAGTCGACACATAACAGGCTTATTGGTCTATAGTTCTTAAATAATCGGTGGTCGCCTCTATTCTTATAGACAAACAATTTATTCTTATAATTAATTATTATTATACCGGTTCTCATTGGGTTAGATAATTCACCCTGTAGATAGATGTTGTTTATTACTTCTGTCAGGTCGGTTCCTATTGTGTCAAAGAATTTGATATAGAAATCTCCTGGAATACCGTCGATGCCTGGGCTACGGTTTGATCTGAAACTTTGTAACGCCTTCAGATCTTCATCTTTAGATATGAAATGAGACAGGGAATCTCTTTCCGTGTTAGTTAGGGTATTTATGTTACTGTTTTCAATATAGGAGTTTATTAGGTTTTCGACAATGTTTTGGGTAGTATATAGTTGTTGGTAATATTGGTGAATTGTGTCTAGAATATCTTGTTCATTATCAAATACTGTATTATTTTGATTGATTAATTGTTTAATTTGCTTTTTAGCACTGTTTTTGACCTCAGCTAATTTATATATTTTAGAATATCGTAACCTTGTATTGTATTTTGTTCTATTATTTCGATTTTTGTTTGAATTTCATGCATTGAGTTAGTATTCATAGGTAGTATGGAAGTAGATCAACTTATAGTGTGATATATATTGAGACTATATTTATGTTATATATATGAATGCATATCTAGCGGTGTATTATGAATGTATGTTATATTAAAGGACGACGGATATTGTTAGTGTTGGTGACACGGGCTACTCCTAGATCTATCTTTATAATAGTATTAACATGTCACGTTTAGATTATATTTAGAGAGAAAGATAGATAGATATGGGGTTAAGTGGAGGGAAACCGCAGTTCAGGACCCGGAAAAACCCACGAGATTCGTTGACACGTATATGCGGGGAACCTACTCCATGCAGATTGACTCTATGTATATGATAGACCAGGAAAAACCCCACGAGGGTGGACAGGCTACCCTATTCTGTGTCACGTACATGCGGGGAACCGAGTCCACGCCAATTGACTCTATGATAGACGTTACTCACTGAGCCATCGCGACTCCCTTGATAATATAATACTTGACATAATACCAAGGTTAATTTACGTCCGCTTCCATTGAGTTGATACCGTAGACAATAAATCAATGTCTAAGTATTGTGATAATAACATATTGATGTCAGGGAATTAAGTTCGATTCTCGAGAAGAACCTTGAGGATTGTCGAGTCTGAGTTTCACCTGTCAGGGGTATAACGTCTATTGGGCTGACTAGTCCTTCGGATGGTTCCTACGTGTATACATTGGCGTGCACGTAAAATACATTCGATGAAACGCCGCTGTCAGGGCAAAATTCTTCTCATTAGCATAACATCCCTTAATAACAGAATAAAAAGCCGGTAGTATTGTGTTGTGTTAACGAAATGTTAAATTACATTCCTATTTTATTTTGTGGTTATATGACTAAAACGTCAGTTATATCAAGATAAGCCAGAATATTTTAAAGATACTTCACCGAAAACAAACCGTTCGATCAAGAAATAACAACCTCTCCCTCAGTTAAACTAGCATACAATAAGCCGTCGTGTTGGCTCCCTCAGTTAAACTAGCATACAATGAGCCGTCGGGTTGGCAGTTAGTGATACCCTGACATTTTTGCTCAGTTCCTGTTTTTCGCGTAATCCAGTATTTTTCTAATAAGATTGGGCGTCTAAACTTTTCATATATATCATGTCATACTGTTACTGGGAATAACCACCTGATAAATACATATATATCATGTCATACTGTTACTGGGAATAACCACCTGATAAATATATTTGTGACAATGTATCTTTAATATCCTTATGGTTGAAGCCGATGTTTAGTTGAGAGATTAATCTTCCAAATATTGCGGGAGGTTGCGTGACCGAAAGGTTAACGCAGGTGCGTTGGATCATAAGGTCTGCAATGAGTCAAGTGGTGTGGTTTCGATTCCCCGCTTGTACGGGACAAGAAGTAGGGCCCATCCTCTTAATTTTGCTCCCACTTCTAAAGACCCATACGCATAAGCGAATCATTTACATAAAATTGAAAAATATGTTAATAACGAAACTCTCTCTCTCTCTCTCTCTCTCTCTCTTATTAAGGTGAATAATTTCTATACATGTTAACTATTACCTACATCCTATATTATTTATATTATATGAACTATTATAGATGGCCAATTACTACTAAACCAAGCATATCATAGTATGATGTACTATTAATATTATATGAACTATAATAGATAACCAATTACTACTAAACCAAGCATATCATAGTATGATGTACTATTAATATTATATGAACTATAATAGATGGCCAGTTAATACTAAACACAGCATATCATTGGTTTATAGTGGAGAATAATTAACATCAAAGTTTACTGTATTACAAGATATGATGGGAATTATTAATGTCTATAATCAGTATATTTCAAGTGAAATGAAATGAAATGGATTTTAACGTCCTACTGTTCAGCTCCGACTGGGCTAATGCAGTGTGCTATGAGATAAATTTTGTTCGGACAGAGGCTCTACGGCCTACTCTTATTTCCAATTCCAACTCTCAAGGGTTCTTTTATGTGCATGCCAATATGTACAATGGACCTCACCTTGGTGTTTCATCCCATCCAAAGGACTATACGTTGTCCTACATCACTGACAGGTTAGCGAGTTAACGTCTTACTCACTGAGCCACCGTGGCTCCCATGTGGAATGAATCAGAATTGTAACAAAGGTTAACCTAAGCTATATTGTACAAGTGATGTAATTATTTATAATGGGTATAACGAACATCTATTCAAGTGAAATGAATCAACATTAAAACAACTGCTATCATTAGACGAGTAATATAGTATTTTATGACTAAACGAAGTATCATAACATATAATTGATTGATCAATAGTAGAGGTCTAATAATATTGTAATGATATCATTCAGGTATATAATACATGATATACTAATGATATTGTAATTATATCAGTCAGCTATATAATACATGATATACTAATGATATTTATTTTAGCTTGTAATATATTTATTCACAGAATATAATTATACATTATAATATTTACAGTATTTTATAATTTCCACACCTTTAATTTATTTTTTTACTTATTCCCTGTTACTATATAAGACACACACAGGCAAAGTATTCGCTGTTACTATATAAGACACACACGGGCAAAGTATTCCCTGTTACTACATGTATATATGACACACAGGCAAAGTAAAATACAATAATATATAATAATTAAAACAAATATTTTTGATTATTTATAATATGTATAGTCTAATAGTTGAGTAGATATAAAAGAGTGAACAGTAAAATTATTTATAATGTGTATAGTGTAAGAGTTGAGTATGTATAAAAGAGTAAAAAGTAAAATATGATATATATAAATAAAATCATTGCCTGTATCTTACACACCTATATACAATAGAGCGATACAGATTTTAAGTACATTTAGTGTCAATGAGAAAACCTGGTTTTAAATACTAATTATAAATTTCCATGTTTCAATTATTGCAATATTTGATGACTTTACGTCTAAGAGAAAATGAATTGCATTAAATAAATAATTTGCAGATATTTTCTAATAAACAGGTTGGCAGTGGGATTTTGGAGTGTAGAGGTTTTTGGCTGTTGAGTACATAGTGTCTATCTGAAAATATGCTTCAAATTTTAAAATATGGCTATTAATGTTTCAAAAGTTACTATATTTGGTGACTTCAATAGCAAATAAAGATAATGTAAGCAAGAAAATTGGTTATAATTCAGAGTTGGCTGAGAATATCTTGTGAAAAGGTTTACAATAGCCAATTTCAATGTTAATTTTTTGAGATGACTTGATGAGCAAGACTAAAATGATTTGTATAGTTTAGATAGAGCTGGATAATAGGGACTTGTATCACTGGTGTTTATGTTGGGGGTTAAAAGATGGGTCGAATGCTGGCAGACGGCAATTCGTCTGCTATTCTAGAGAGATATTTTCATAAACGATTTAAGTTATCAATTATATCATCATTAAGGGTATCTAATTTAGTAACTTTAGATGTTATATTTAGGATTGAGTTTGTTTATTGTGATTTCTAAGTATGACAATTATCTTTTACACTGTATGGCGCATGCCCGTCTTCATTAGTCGAGTTCGGAGCAGAACAGTAGGACCATTTCTTTTCATTTCATTTCATTTCGAAGCTCTTCGGAGAAGGTGTTAGAAGGAATATTTAGGGATGTTCTGGAATATTCAAGCATTCTCATCAATAAATTTTTCTAACTTAAAGAAATCTAATAGGGATGTTTGAAGGTTTTGATGTTATTATATTATATTTAACAATATAATATTTAATTAGAAGTTCTTCGGAAGAGGTGTTCGAGGGAATAATTATTGAATGGTTATCAAAGTGAGAAAGAGAGAGAGAGAGAGAGAGAGAGAGAGAGAGAGAAATGGGATTTAACGTCCACTCATATGGTTCAATTTTATTTCCATAATTTCCATAAAGGGGTCTTTAGCTGTGGGAGGAACGTATCTTACGATATGATAAATGATATGAGGTTTAATGCCCTACTGCTTCGACTGAGCAAATAAAAACGGCCATACGCCA